GCTTCTTTAAATAAAATATAATTAGTTATAGTTTTTCTTTATTATCTTTTTATCCGATTTATACTCTTAGAGTAAAGTCTAATATATCGGTTTTAAGTTCGATTTATCGTTTTAGATTAAAGGTAGTTAAAACTAGTTCTTATATAATCGTAGTCTTAATATATTTAAAAGCTTTATTAGCTTTATTATCCTATATAAATCCTTTTTCCTTCTTTATTAAGTTATATAGTAATACTATAATCTTTTTAAAATCTTTAATAAATCGTTAGTAGTAATTTATAAATCCTAGGAAACTTTATACGTCCTTAACGTTCTTTAGCATTAGCTATTCTTTAACTAAGTTAATCTTATCTTATTATATTTATATCTCTCTTAGTAAGATAGTATATCTAAGAAAGTCTACTTACTATATATAGAACTTACTTTTCTTTAGTTTAACTAGTAACTTTATATTTTAAAGTATATAGAGTACCTTATAAATATATTCCTTATATTCTTCTAGGGTATCTAAGAAGATTAAGATATTATCTAAGTATACTACTATAAAGATATCTAAGTACTTACGTAGGATATTATTAATTATCCGTTAAAAGGTAGCTAGTATATTTATAAGTCTAAATAGTATTACTAGATATTTAAATAGTCTAAATTTCGTTTTAAAGGCTATTATCTATTTATATCCCTTTTTTATATATATTAAGTTATAGGCGCCTTTAAGGTTAAGGGCTATAAACTATTTTTTACTATATAGTCGATCTTATAGTTTTAATATAAGTAGTAATAGTATTCGGTCTTTTATTATAATATCGTTTAAGCGTCTATAGTTAATAACTAGTTATAGCTTACTATTTTTCTTTAAAATAAATATAACTAAGTAGCTTACTTTAGATATTAACGTTTATATATATCCCTTTTATAGATTCTTATTAAGGTAGTCGCGTAGCGTTTATAGTTGCTTTTCGTTTAAGTTATAGATCTTATAAAACGTCGGCGTTATTTTATCCTTAAGATAAATTTTATAGTCCTATTAGCTATATTTAAGTAACCTTATCTTAAGTTCTTCTTTAAAGAGTTTATTATATTTCTAGTATTCCTAGGAGATACTCTTTATTTTATTTTATAGGCTTTATTCTTTCTTTTAAGAGCTAGTTTCTTTTAACTTAAGCTCTTTATTAATTTATTTAAGGTCTTTCCTTAAAGTAGTAATAACTCTTTAGATCTTTATATTATATCCTTTATTTTATTTATATTAGATACTAGGTTATATAGCTATATTAGTTAGTATATAGGTTTTATTAGTCGATTTTATTATATTTATTAGTTTAGTTACTATTTTCGTTTATATTACTAAAGCCTATAATAATTTACTTAAACGGTTATCCCTTTTATCCTATTTAGTAGCTAAATTATTATAAAATTTTACTTTCTTTTAAATCTACTAGTCTTAGAAACTTATATCTTCGTTTTAATATAGCTAGCTAGTTCTCTAGTTAATTAATAGGTTGCTCTCCTATAGCTATAAAAGTCTTAATATAAAGTTATATTCTTTAATATCTATAATATTAAAGTTAATACGTTCGTTATAGCCCTAAATATTAATATTAAGGTAATTAATCTTTATATTAATAATTCCGTTATTATAGTTAAAGGCCTCTCTTTTAATATTTATAAGTTTATATAGATCTATATTATATCTTTATATAAGTCTATAACGATTAATAACTCTAAGTAAAACGTAATTACCTATCGCGCTATAGTCTAAAAGTATATATATATAATATCCTACGATTTAGATATTTAATACTATTTAGTTACTATAGCTTACCGTTACTATATATAAGGTCCTTAGATCTTATTATATTATACTAGTTTATAGCCCTTTTATAGATAGCGTACCTTATTTTTTACTTAGTCTTTATTTATTTTATTTAGGTATTCTTCTTTAATTTATTATTAATATTATTTCTTTATATTTTTATCGTATAATATTATATTAGGGCTTAAGAGACTAATTTCTTATAGCTAATTAAAGATTTCTTATTTCTTAACGCTATATCGTTTATATTATACTACTTTATAGTTAATTATATACTATACTTTATAATTCTATTTATTTTTATATTAAAGGTTAAGTTTTCGTTTTATATCTTTTTATTTTATATATAGTATTTCTATATTAATTCTTCCTTAGTTAAATATAGCTTATAGCCTTTATATATATTACTAATAATCTTTTAGTATACCGTTATATTATTTATACTATACTTATACTTTTTTATATTTATAAACTCTATAGTTTAAGTATATATATTCGTTATAATCCTCTTTATTATATTTAACTTATTATATAAGTCTTTAAAAGATTAAGGGTTCGGATACCTTAAAGTAAGTAGCGTTATACTATTCCTTTATTTTAGCGTATTTATAGATTTTATATATCTTTAAAAGATATCTTATTAATAAACTATAATTATTACGGTATTTAAGTAGCGTACTATAATTAAGTTCTAATAATATAACTTAGTCGTTTAGGTAGCGTTAATTAATTTTCTAGTAGTTTAGTTCTATACTTAGGTAGGGTTTTAGAAGTACTTATCCCTTAAACCTAACTAAGAAAGCGTTATATCGTGCTTTTATTTAGAAGTATATTATATAATCTAAGTAAAGGTATAATATCTATAAAATATACTTATTGTGGGAATGTAGCATATAGCTATAGTAGGATTGTAAGGGAGGTGCGCACACACGCACACGTGACCCTTAGCGTCACGTGTATGGACCTCGGGGATCCGTGTATAAAGGGCACGTAGTGTGCCCTCATTCCCTTTCCTCCCTTCCTAGCAAGACATCTTGAATACAACCCATTGCGTTACTGCAGTACAGACCTCCCGACACTGATCAGTGATCGATTTGGTCGATCACAGATTGGCAAGGAAGAAGAGATAGAACGCAACCTTCGAAAGCCCAACTACCATATTCCTAGCGATATTGCCCTGGTTGGACCTAGAGGAGGTTTCTATGCTAAGATCAAGGACTCTACGATTACCCGGACCCGGCAACCAACTAGCTCCCGGTAGGCCATTGATAGATCCTTCCAACTTCACTTAACGGTTACATTAAGTGTAAGTGCGTCCACAACGCCGATTCGACAACTACGTGACAGCCCTCACGATTCGACAACTACGTGACAACCCTCACGATGACAAGCACGACCCCAACCCCGAACCCCGCCTCTACGAGGAACGACGCCTTCCTCGACCAAGTAAGGAATTGGTCCAAAATCTCACGATCCCAAAGACCCAATATCAGGATATCGATCCGACCCGATGGGAGGATGAGATCACGCCCAAGAGGAAGATAGAATAGCTGTTATGACATATACCGCACGATTTATGTCAGAATGCGAGGAGAACGTACACCTTCATGGCACTAATATCCTTGAATTCTTCCAGGATCACTTCCAACAGTGGACCGAGGCAACGTGGAGAAAGATGCCAAAGGAATTTCGAAGGAGCTACGTTACCTTTTAAAGAGACGTGGTATCTATACAGGAGAAAAGGGTGACCACATCATCCCACAGCTCGTCTTCCTACAGACGATCGATAACCCACCAGCCTGGCCCGACAACGAATTCATGGTAACCCAATTCGATAAAGGAACGGAGGCCTATACAAGAAAAGAGAGACGACTAACGCAGAACCCTCCCACCTCCAACACGGCGGAGCCATCCATGCCGTTAGCCCCTATTCCGACGCTCCTGCTCCTCCCGCTACGACAATTGCGGAACCGCCCACAACGACTGCTACGCTTCCCCAACGAACAATACATCCTACAAGCTATCAGTTCCAGCAACAGAGCATCGTTCTAGCAGAACCCTCTTCTCCCACATCCCTCGAAGCGTACACAACGCTTCCCCCGGCCGACATCCCGAACGGCATCGTCGATGCCAACACACAACAGAAATTCACCAAGATCTGGGACAAAGAGAAGAACTATACGGGGGAACCCTATGACCTTCTCGATGATAAGCTACGCATCTTTATGAGTATCTGTTATAACATTCAGGTCAAGCCGGACCAATTCCACGCTCTTTTCCTCGAATCCTTACTGGCCGAGCCCAAACGTACTACATTGACCACATTAACTGGACCTCAACGTTCCGCAAGGCATACGATAGCATCAAGCAACATTTCGATACGGAAGTTAACCACGTTCACTACTATACTGAATGGACGACTATTTCCTTTAACAAGCTCCGTGCCGATAATGCTACGAAATCCCTACACGAGGTTCTTCAGCTACTCCTTGATAAGCTACAGTTATGCCAACGAGCTCTTGGCAACGCGTATGCAGGAAACGTTCCACTGCGTACAACGCTTATTAATGCATGCCGCGGTGTTCCTGAACTTGAATACGCTTTATTCAAGCCCGCCGAAGGAATCGAGCCCTTTTGCAGATCTTCGCTCTTCCGTTGAGACCCATCTTGCACGCGGAATAGCGCCTCGTTATCTTCAAGGAGGCCCTCAATACCATCAAGACCTCGAGGAACCATCTGATCATATGGATCCCAATGACCACTACTATCTCGATCGAAGATACAACAACAATCGCGGAAGATTTGGTCAGAAGGGGTATAGAAGGTATAGAGGCAACGCTCAACGAGGCAGCTACAACGCTCCACGGGGAAGCTTCAATAGTCAACGCTTTAACCGGCCACAAGGCCGTTACGGCCACAACCACCCGTGGAATAAGAAGTGCTTCGTCTGCAATAAGGAAGGATGTTGGTCTACAAAGCACACTGCCGAGGAACGTCAAAGATCCCGAGACCAATACGTCGCCCACTGTCACTTCATAGGGATTACCCCTCCCCAGGACCTTACAGCCTACGTTCTTGACTTTGAAGGTCACGAGATGGATGCCCACGATGATGCTAACGACCCTGGGACGAGGACGACAATGAAGATAATGACAACAACCCAGAACAGTGGCACACAAGCCAAATGCTCTGCCAGCAAGCCTTCAACCATCTGATCACAGGGGAAGACGTGTATAGCACCTCTCAAAACAACGCTACACCTGCTTCCCAATTCATGATAGAGGAGCGCTACTCAAGACTCCGATTCCAGGGCATCATAATTGACACAGGCGCCGCGAAGGTTTCCACAGCTGGCTACGACCAATGCATCGCTCTACAACGAGAAGACCCTGCTATAACGCTCGATAAGACTACAGCAGGCCAAGCTTCTATCAAATTCGGCAACGGCGAAGCCATTCTATCCCTCGGCTCTATCGCCCTTAAAACACCTCTCGGAAGGATCACATTCCATATCCTCAAGACCCCTACTCCTTCCTCCTCTCTCTCGCTGATATGGATCGCCTAGGCATCTATTTCAACAACCTTACAGACACCATTGTCGGACGAACAACCCTCCCGGTTATCCGCAAATGGGGACATCCTTGGTTCCTCCTACCTAAGACCAACGAGGCCGCTATCGCATTCCTCACGGAGAGCGAGATCCGCACTCTTCATCGTCGATTCGGGCACCCAGCGGTCCCAAGACTTCACAACCTCCTACGGCAAGCTGGCCACAACGATGTGACGATAGATATCCTAGAGAACATCTCGAGATTCTGTCATCACTGTCAAATGCACTCTCAAGCTCCAAGACGCTTCAAATTCACCCTAAAGGATGACCAGGAATTCAACTACGAAATCGTCGCTGATGTGCTCTACCTTGGAACCCCTCAACGCCCCGTCTTGCACGTGGTAGATACAGCAACAGCGTTCCAAGCAGCCAGGTTCCTCCTATCGATGTCAGCAAAGGATACGTGGGAAGCCCTCCGAGCCCTCTGGATAGACACATATCTCGGACCCCCTGATACTATCAAGCACGACGCAGGGACCAATTTTGCCTCCCTAGAGTTCCGTAACGAGGCAAAGCTTATGGGGATAACCTGCAAGCAAGTCCTGTGGAAGCACATTGGTCCGTTGGAAAGGTTGAAAGATATCATGCCCCTCTCCGCCGTGCGTTTGAGATCCTCCACGCAGAAATCGGGACCTTCACATCCCCGAATCGATCCTTCAAATGGCTATCAAAGCCATCAACGACACAACAGGGCCAAATGGCATTGTCCCTACGCTCCTAGTCTTTGGCGCCTACCCTCGAATGGCGTTAGATTCGCCCCTTCTGCTACGACCCTGAAAAGGGCTGCCGCAGCCCAGAAGGCGATGAAAATGCTTCGTCAGCTCTCAGCAGAGCGGCAAGTGCAGGGCGCCTTACACACAAAGAACGGACCATCATCAACAGGCGTTATACTATCGCTCCCACTGCAAAGCGAGGTCCGAGTGTGGAGAGAAAGCTCGGCTGGCAAGGCCCTTTTAAGATTAGTGCAATTGATGGCTCCAATGTCACAATTGATACTATCAACGGACCCCAGACCTTCCGTTCCACCCTTGTGCAGCCTTATTTCCGCGACGAGACGACGATCCCTGCCCCGCTGCTGCTGCTGCGGATGATTCTGACATTCCTGTTTCTGATCCTGCGAGCGATTCTGTTCCTGTTTCTGCCCCTGCCCCTGCCCCTGTTCCTGCTCCTAATCCCCCGGCGCCGCGCAAGCGAGGCCGCCCCCCTGGTTCGAAGAACAAGCCAAAGACGACGTTCCTAGTCAAGAAGGAAGAAGATGCCTACCAACTAGCCATCAAGCTACGGGACGAAGGCATTATCACAACGCCAGGCACCCCCTTTGAGGAATCCGATAGCACGGAGATCGATGATCTATTGGTACGAGGTGTTTAGCTTCGAACGCTACAATGAAGCAAAGCACGGGAACCATCATATCTTCCGCTCCCGCATGGTCCGCGAGGTTAAAGGCAAAGAAACCAAACCATACGAGAAGTCAAGGCTCGTGGTCCAAGGGCACAACGACCAAGAGAAACCACCCTATTGACGCAATCCCCGACAATTCAACGCGTCAGTCAACGGCTTATTTCTGCTATCTCCCCAGACCTCCTTTCTCACGGCATGACCCTCTCTTCGTGACATCACACAAGCGTATCCCCAGGCGCAGACCGAACTATTCCGCACCATTCTCACGCATCTTCCCGCCGAATTAGAAGGAAGATACCCGGAAGGAACAATCATTCGCGTTATTAAGCCCCTATACGGAATTGCGGAGGCCGGAGTCCATTGGTTTCGAACCTATCACGGGCATCATGTCGATAACCTCGACATGTCCACATCAACCTACGACCTATGCTTCCTAATTACGAATAAGGGACCTGATAACTTTGGGATTGTGGGAATGCAGACTGACGATACCCTTATGCTTGGCACACAACGTTTTTCCGCGCTAGAGGAAGCGGAACTCGTAAAGGCACAATTTCGGGCAAAGCCGAAGACAACGATGACCCGGGTACTAGCATTGACTTCAACGGTGCAAAGATAACCCTCCAAGACACCACTTTCCACAACGCTCTACTGCTTCAACAAAGGGTCAAGCAGCCAAGATCGAACCCATCGACATCAAGGCATACGATCGAGCCCAACAGTACGTGGAACAGCGTGCCCGTGGCGCGTATGTGGCTTCAATCTGTCAACCAGAGGCCTCATTCGACATCTCTATTGCTGCCCAGGTCCAAACCCTACGGAAGAGGATTGCACGACCCTCAACAAGCGGCTTCAATGGCAGAAAGACCACCAGCAGCGAGGCCTAACGTATATCCCTATTGACCTCGCCAATGCCAAGCTTATCATCTTTACCGACGGTTCCTTTGCGAACAATAAGGACCTATCGTCACAGCTAGGCTTCGTCATTGCCTAGTCAATGAGACCGAGACCGCACGTACCAAAGACCAATTCGGGATCAAGGGCAATGTCCTCCATTGGAGCTCAACGAAGTGTAAGAGGGTCACCCGAAGCGTGCTAGCATCAGAGATCTACGGCATGGTCAACGGATTCGATATTGGGATATCACTAGCAACGACGATACGGAAGATCACAGACCGCCTCAATCTTCCCCTATCCCTAATCGTTTGCACCGACTCTTTTTCCCTCTACGAGTGCCTCGTTAAGCTAGGCACAACGAAGGAGAAGCGATTGATGATAGATATCATGGCCCTACGTCAATCCTACGAAAGGCGTGAGATCACAGAAATCCGCTGGATTAACGGCGCAGACAACCCAGCAGATGCTATGACAAAGGCATCGCCTAACCGCGCCCTCGAACGCCTCGTCGATACGAATAGCCTTACGATTAGGATAGAAGGATCAGTCGAACGCCCTCCCCGCTAGCTGCCGCTCGAACCGTCACTCTTTTCGCACCCTTGCGGTTGCTGCTACGCTCCCGCACCTGCTGCTACTGCTGCGATTGCAGCGATAAAGAAGATTTGCCAGTGTGGGAATGTAGCATATAGCTATAGTAGGATTGTAAGGGAGGTGCGCACACGCACACGTGACCCTTAGCGTCACGTGTATGGACCTCGGGGATCCGTGTATAAAGGGCACGTAGTGTGCCCCCTCATTCCCTTTCCTCCCTTCCTAGCAAGACATCTTGAATACAACCCATTGCGTTACTGCAGTACAGACCTCCCGACACTTATAGTACTTATAAGTAAGTTATATTTATAAATTATTTTTAAATTCTCCTTATAGTTACTATTCTTATTATAAAGCTTTAAAGGTATTAACTATAATAATAGCTATAATATAGTCTCTTCTATATAGTACTAGTTAATACTAAATTAATATAGCTTATTAGTTTTCTATAAGAATTTAAGGTATTTATTAGGTTTTAATTTTAAGTATTTCTTTAAATTCTTTAAAGTATAAAGCGTATTCTTTAATTATAGTATTTTCCCTTAATAGTAAGGGTAGTAATATAAGTTTATTTTTATCTTTTATTTCTCTAGGTATTTCTTATTCTTTAGAGCTTATATTATTAATACTTTATTATTCCTCTTTAAGTTATTATCTAAGTTTTATAAGTATAAGGGCTATATTTATATCTTCTTTATTATATTATTTATAGACTACCTATCGTTATTATCGATTTTTATTTTATATATCTTCTTAGAATTGTTTACTATTCTTCTTAATCTAGTCTTAAGAGACTCTTTTAAGATAAGGGTATTTTAGTTCTATAAATTTAACTTATTTCTATTTTTTAGGATCCCTTTATTATATTATTATAAGGGTTTTCTTTAATAGCTTTAAGAACTATTTAGTATTATTTTTATCGCTTAAGTATACTATATATTCGTTATTATAATATATAGTCTAACTAAGGAGTTTATACTTTAGTTCCTATCTATTAATAGCGTTTAGGTATTTCTTACCTATTAAGGCTAGTACTTAGTAGGTTTTCTTCTCCTTATAAGGTTATCTATATTTTTTAAAGTAATATCTAAGTTTCCTATAGTTAAAATACTTTCCTTTACTTTTTTATATTATATCTAGGTCTATCTTACTTAAGTTAGTTATATAAGTATAGGTAATAAGAGTTTCGCGCTTCTTTTTATAGTTAGCGCGTTAGTTAAAGTTATTTTTATAAGAAGGGTTTTAGTTTCCTCTTTCTTATTTCTTTTCTTAGTATTACGTATACTATCTATGGTTAATTTATACTACTATAGTAATATAGTTTAAGAGATTATTAGGTCGATTTTCCTTATATAGCTCGTCCTTAACTTCTTTTTTAAGCTTATTATAAAATTATAATATAAGAGGTTCGTTATCTTAATTAAGCTTTAAGGTAACTTAACGGAACTTTATAGTATAATTTAATACTAAGATCCTTTATTAGAGTTCTTAAAGTTTTTATTTAGCTTTTTATTCCTTATTAGTTATTCTAAATACCTTTATAATAGCTTCTTTAAATCCTTAGAAACTAGTAAAGACTTTATCTATCTTATTATCTCGTCGCGCTAGTTAGTTATCGAGAAAATCCCTTATAATAGGTCTAAACTAACTAAGTGCCGTTCTAGATAATAATTTCCTATATAGAGTACCTTTTCGACTAGGTCTAAGAGTTTAGTAGGGTAAAACTAGTAATAGGCCTTAAGTTAGGTAAGAAAGTCTTAAAGCGTACTATAAGTACTATTAAATAGTCCTAGCTATTTTAGTTTAACTACTTCTCTAAGGTCCTTAACTTATTTATTACCTCCTCTATTCCTAAGTAACTATACTTTATATCGAAGGGTAATAATCTCGCGTATTATATCCTAAGGTAATATAGTAGCTCTAAAGTTAGTTAATCTAGCTTATTATATAGGTATATTAATAGTTATAATATTACTTAAAGTAATATAGTATTATATTAAATAAGAGCTTTTAACGTATAATAACTAGTATTATTCTTAAGGGATAAACCTACTAAGGGGTTTATATTAATAGATATAATAAGGTATAGTCTAAGTAATAATACGTATACTATATTAGTAATAAGTTAGAGGTTATAGACTATAGGCTATAACTAAGTAATTAAGTAATTAAAATTAAAGATAAGATTATAATAAAGATTATAATAATTATATTAAAAGCTATCGAGCTATCTATTTAAAGGAGTAAAAGTAAGTAGCTATATATACTTATAGAGACTATCCTTAGATTATAAGCCTAGCTATAATCCCTAACGTTAGATCGTATAGAGTATAGTAATCTCGTTAATCTTAGATTACTTAGATCTCTACGATCCCCTTAAGCCTATATCTATTAGATAGTCGTGCCGACTATTTATCCGTTAGACTATATTATATACTTAACGTAGTCGACCGTTAGCGGCTTAGTAGCTATAATCGTAATACCTACCTATTCTTATATCGCGGATATCTTTAAAACCGCTAGGCTAAAATAGGTAATAGAGTATCCGTTCTACTTATAATTAACTTATATATTTTATATATATTTTAATTTATTAAGATAAGCTTATCTTAACCTGCTTTTCCTAAAGGAAGGTATAGATATCTAGTAAAGGTCTTTATCTTTAAGGGTTATTCCCTTAGACTATATTATAGAGCCTCTTTTTACTAGCTTATTTTATAGAGGCTCCCTATACCTATTATTTCTTTATAATAGTAAAATAAGAATATAAAGGTATATTCTTATATACTCTTATAAGCTAACCTTAGTAAAGCGGAATTATACTATTTATAATAAGGAGATACTAGTAATTATTAGCTACCTTAAGTAATAGTAAGTAGAGCTCTAGA